AAACGTATTTAAATATATACAACAACTATACTTACTTATACTAAATTTGATACCTTATTATTTAAAGAAAATACCTGTTAAGGTCCGGGTTGGAATACGTTCCAAGCAACCCATGCGTGTCATAATCGGCGACTAACGGGATCGGGTGATCAGACTCACTGACTTGATACATATCCCAATCGATGCTCATGGTGTCAATCACTGCATTGTGTGGTCCAGACTCGATTATTTACAGACCATAAAGCCGGAATATTGCTGAGTGTGGCGTTCAACAACAATCAAACAAAAAATATTATTCAACACCCTCCGACATTTAAACTACACATAGTATAATCAGAGAATAGAATAGACTATATTTTATGGTCTCTGGTATAATATAATGATTCGAATGCCTGGAACGGGCATTGCTAAAGAAGGAAATATTAGCGGATGTGTCCTCTTGATCAGATATGCGCTTCAGTAGTGGTTTTGTATATCTCCAGGTTGGTGTTTACAGTGTAGCTCTCATTATTTGTTGATAATTCAACAAGCAAAATAAAACAAAACTATTCTACCATGGCGAAAGGTGAGGTGAGAGTTAACGTGGCCTTCAAGATTATTGCTCTTATATAGCGACCTGCATGCCGCACGTGCATGTGTGTGTGTGGCTGCTTGTATAGTCCGGAGATTTTAGAGTGCCAGTCGACTGAGATACCATGTCACATCATGAATGCCCCACTCAAAAACAGTGTACTCCGAGCGGACCAGTCTTTATTTTAGCCCCTTAATGCCGAGCGTCAGGCAGGATAACAAAAAGTACCACCTTTTAACGTATTCTGGTATGACGAGGCCGGGGATCGAACCACCGACCTTCCTCTCTCCGGGCGGACCTTCTACCACTGGACCACGGAGGCTGTCGTTCGCATTTTTCGCATAAATGTCATGCTCGCATTAATTTCATGATTTACTGAAGATAGATTTGAACATTTCTGAGCAACGATCATGTTTGGGTAAGGGAAGTAAATCTTGTCTCCGCTTGCAATTGGATTCAACCGGGCGAGCAGTTCCGAGGTCGCAGCTTGACTGTTACGGCCGAAAGGCGGCATCCATGTTGTTCACGCTCCGCTGATCGCGGGGCCTCATTTGTCTGTATTCTGCTTATGAGCGGGGATGCGCATGAAACACGGGTGTCAAAACGAATATATTTACCAATTATACGTACGGTCAATTAGCCAGTCCAAGAGACAATTCCCTGGTTCTACCACCTTTAGGTGTAATTACGTCGCATGCCCCTGGTTCACGGTTCGTCTGATCTCCCGTCATAAAACCACGATGTTTATCTACCTGGAGCCTCCGACAGCGCCGACTTCCTGTGTACATGTACGTACATAGCAATAAATGGTTTGACAGTTGTTTGACGGAATCAATCAATAATTATTGACACGGGGATGTAATTAAAATTTGTCACTATTCACAACTCGTATTATTATTTTTCTATAGTTCAGCTGTATTTTCGACCAGTTTTATATGTATAAAAAATCTTCTCTTGTATTTATAAACCAAACCTAAAAACATTATATAAGAACAATTGTGTTTTTAAACCGTAAGTTTTCTATTAAAACAACCATGCAAGTAAGATTTCAGCCGTAATATTACTTGAGTTACTCCACAGATTACACATCTTATATGCTGCAAACGCAGCGAATGTAATGCTACTACGTCACAGCTGCCTCGGTAATTGAGGGCGGGAATGTTTTTGTGAAGGCAGTTAGAGCAGACGAATTTCCCCCCTCGCTGTATAATGACGGTTGCTAACCATATATATATATGTATTTTTCGTGTTTTTGGCTTGATTTGATTGTCCTTTGTTGAAAACAAATGTTCAATTGTGAAAGCAAACCCCTTTCCCCTGAACGTTAAAAGACAGGAAACTTTGTTTTTGTCTGAAATATCAACGTTGAAGTCATTTATATATTCGGAAATCCATATTATGGTAATTATTTATTAAATGCATTTCCTGTTTTGTATATATGTATATATTATTAAGTTAATATGGACAATGGTAAAATTCATTATCACAGTTTAAGTGCTATTTGCAAATGTATGTAAATCTACTTCGTGATGAATGAAGCATGGCAACAAATGTATGCATCTGTTTCTTCATTTGTTCTGTATTCTTTGATGAGAATGAGTTTCGTTAATGATGATCACTCTCACAGAGGATAGGACTTTAACTGGAGAATAGTTATGAAAAATATATATATAAGTATAGGCGGTCTGTGCACATGTGGTGAAACTGATACCTCATTGATTTGATCATCGGGACTTGGAAATCATAGTCTGTCATTAAATTGATTTTAAAATATATGGTTTTGACTGTAGTACGTCCTGACATCATAATATTATGTTGTAAACAACTTATCTTATCTTATGTTAAGTAAAACAATTATTAATAACTTCCTGAATTCCAATAGTTCAATGAACAGAATTATTCACAGCTCTGGAGTGAGACAACAATAAATTAGATGTTACCAAAGATTGTCCATTTTATGATCTTAGGCACATGTCGGCGCACTTACAAGTGAGCCGTCTTGACGACTGTCTGTTTTTGTTATTAAATGGCAGCTGCCATGCAGCCGAATACTTAATCTTGAGACCTATTAGTGTCTTGTCGAGTCAAGTGCGGGTCTCTCTCTCACCTTAGGGAGAATGCGACCTTAGGGAAAAGCCCCTCGCTAGACAGACAAGCAGTGAATGTTTGAGATAAATTTAATATTTATTATATATAGTTTAAACTCAAAAAATAATTCATAGTCTTTTTATTGTTCAAATTACTAATAAAACATATTTTAACTTGTTCCTTCTAACCATATTTCCAAACAATTACAAACCATTCCAAGTCATTCCAAACATTTCCTGTGTTGGAAATATGTTTGGAAATGTTGCCATATCAATTTTGGATTTTCTGGAAAGATCGATCCTTCCAAGCTTTGGAAAGTTTGGAATGAGCGATCTTTCCAAAGCAATCCAACGTTCATTCCAAATTGGAATGGACGCTCCTTGGTCCTGTGCATGACGGCGTCTTCGGAACAGAACAGAACTTTATTTCTCACAGGTTTAGGCTAACGTGGATAACGGAAAATGTTGTTTAAGTGATAGCGCATTTGTAATTCAATCTAATATACTTTCCTTGATTGATAATATGGCTGCGGTCGTAGATCCGGATGTATCTAAATATGCTCAGTATATACACAGGGTTTATTGTTATACTATTAGGATTAATAGATACAATTGAGTATTTATACCCTTGATCATAAAGTTAGTCACTACTTTCACATTTTGATTTGTATGATTTGTGTTATGATTAAATTGACAAAATAAGAAATCATTCTGTGTATACGTGTATTATATATTGTACCCCAATACGTAATTAAATTATGTATATATAAGGACACTAGGTTAATTACTGTAATGGATTATTTGATAAACATATTCACATTTAGTTGCGTGATATGTCACAGAGGTAAAGCTTATTCATAACAACTAATTGTCCCATTTATTTGGCTTCTATCTTTCATATGAAACAAATGCTATAACATGGGGTGATAAACTTCATTGGCAATAGACGTAGCATATAATTGTCCGCATGAACAGTCTACTCGGTTCCAGATATGTTTATTCATTTTGTCAGCATTTAAATCGTTGCATTCCTGGCTCAATGATTCATTTGACGAAATCTTGTTCCCTGTTTTGAATTACCGTCAGATAGTTCCAGACCAATTATAAAATTTCGTGCCCTATGTGTTGCGCATAAATCCGAGATAATTCGAAGTTCATATTCTTGTACGAACACTTATCAAAATTCATTTATACCTAGTACTATTATGTACATATGTATATTAGTTCAAATTATAATAATGAGGCCCTCTATATTCTCGAAACGGTCTTTGTTCTACGACAGACAACCGTAAGTCGGTATGGGAAAACAAAATATTTGTTTAATTGTTGAAAGTTCATAGTCAATGTCATATGCTTATAGACAAGGAAGATAAGAATTTAAATATAAAGAGTAACCACTTTAAATGACAGAAATTCTTTAAGGTTAAATTTGCTCATGATTTGGTCTTTTCGTGGTACATAATGCCCAAATACTCTTAATTATTTGCTTTCATGTCAATACTAATCTCACATAAGGTCAAAAGTTGTAAAACGTTTAACATATATGATTATGACATGTTGTATCCAAATATTTCCAAACATTTCCAAACAAATCCAAACAAATCCAAACAAATCCAAGCTTGGAAATATGACCTTGCCAAATATTGGAATGGTCATATTTCCAATTGGAATGGTGGTATTTCCAAGTTTTGGATTTTTTGGAATGGATGATATTTTGTCCAGTGATCATACATGTACATGGGATTTGAGCTAACTTCTACTTTAATACATCACACATGGGGATTGAGCTAACTTCTACTTTAATACATCACACATGGGATTTGAGCTAACTTCTACTTTAATACATCACACATGGGGATTGAGCAAACATATACTTTAATACATCACACATTGGCATTGAGCTAACTTCTACTTTAATACATCACACATGGGATTTGAGCTAACTTCTACTTTAATACATCACACATGGGATTTGAGCTAACTTCTACTTTAATACATCACACATGGGATTTGAGCTAACTTCTACTTTAATACATCACACATGGGATTTGAGCTAACTTCTACTTTAATACATCGCACATGGGATTTGAGCTAACTTCTACTTTAATACATCACACATGGGATTTGAGCAAACTTCTACTTTAATACATCACACATGGGGATTGAGCAAACATATACTTTAATACATCACACATGGGGATTGAGTAATCTCATACTTTGATACCATGTGTAGTGCATTTAAGTAGATGTTTGCTCAACCCCTATGTGTGATGTATTAAACTTTATGTTTGCTCAACCTCCATGTGTGATGTATTAAAGTAACAATGTTCATCATGTTTCAGCAACAATGTTCCTCACTGTCGTCGTGCTGGCAGCTCTGATGGTTCTTCCCGAAGGGGAAGGCAATTGCTACAGAACCTGGAGCAGATGCAGCGGCTGGAGCTCGTCGATGACTGGCTACCTCTGGAGATCTTGCAACGACCGCTGTAAAGACCTCGGCCATGCTGGTGGAAGTTGTGTCCTGAGGGATGCTCCTGAGTGCAGTTTAACGGACCAGGCCTATCGATGTGTTTGCAGGTAAAGGAAGTATTAGTTTCCCGGATGACGACGCGTAATGTTCGAGATTGCAATGTACCTAAATGTGAGAAAAATATAGCCAATCAATCGATTCAAATGAAAACAAACTAAACCACATTGCATGGCGTTTGTTTCTTCCTTAAACGTAGTTTATGCTATAAAACACATTTGTCCTAGGTATTGAGAGGTGATAACAATATAATATACTGAGTTTTGCTTCAACTTTTAAACATTTATTGATAGTATACAGGCACCTCATCACATTGATAACAAAATATAGTTCTGTTTTGTCTTGGAACTAACAAGGACATGTAGGGAAGGATCTTTTTGGGTAGCATCGGTAATGGTGACGAAGATTTGATAAGTCACTTGCTTTGTATTCTGTGATTTTCGTTTACACTATTTTCACTTTCACCAAAGCGAAAAAAAACCTTCCATATTCAGAAGAAATATCTGCCCAAAACAGACTTCATTGTAAGATGTGTTTATGAATCACTATCAAATAGTGATGATACCAGGTGTTCGGGAAAAAGGGGGGCGTATCCTGCCCCACCGTTGGCACACATCACAAACACGTGCAAAGTCTAGTCAATTGTTCACCTGAAAGATCACGGGATCATACATCATTTTTAAGTCAAATTTGTGTCAACCAAAATACGCCTTGAAAGCTTTACTGAGGTCTTGGATGTTGTAACCTTGACTAACAGCAACTGGGCAAGAGTCCTATGACGCTTTTTGAAATCTTGGAAGGAAGAGCATGCATGATTGTACCTCAAAAGTTGTGAAATGTAGACACCGAGGGCTGGAACTACAGGTATATTGCTCGACATAAAGGGAAAGTTGACTACTGGAACGTACAAGACCATCGATATACCTGAAGCTTAAGTTGAACTTCTTGGCCAAATGACCTTGTTTTGAATTTCCCAATCCGAGCAGAAATCCTGATTCATGTGCACTAAGAAACAGATAGGCAACACAAACTGGTGATTTCACCCGTGCAATGTGTAAAATAACTGAAATTTTCACTTTGGCAATTTATAAAACGCCAACATATTTCGAGTATTTACAGGGTGCTGAACACACACTGCCATTTAGAAAGTGATCAAATGTAGCAAATATTTTATGTTATATTTGGGATTACACTTTCTTACATATGGCAGATGGGTACATACACAAAGTACGTGATGCAGACTACCAGTTGTCAGACTTTCATTTAGGTGGAAGCCTCGGTGAGATGTTGCCTAACTCTGGCAGTACGGGTTTGAATCCCGAACGGGACTAAACCCAAAATAGTACACGAATCCATACTTTACTCAGAAAATGTTATCCTAAACATTACATTTATAACATTTGACCTCTTTCTAAAAGACAGGAAGAGTTATCTCCCTTACACTGATCTTAAGCTACTCTCCTCGTGTCATACATCTACCTCGCCACATATACAAGACAGGAGTTACCTCCCCTACACTGATCTTGAGCTACTCTCCTCGTGTCATACATCTACCTCGCCACATATACAAGACAGGAGTTACCTCCCCTACACTGATCTTTAGCTGCTCTGCTGGTGTCACACATCCAACTCGCCACATATACAAGACAAGAGTTACCTCCCCTACACTGATCTTGAGCTGCTCTCCTCGTGTCATACATCTACCTCGCCACATATACAAGGCAGGAGTTACCTCCCCTACTCTGATCTTGAGCTGCTCTCCTCGTGTCACACATCCAACTCGCCACATATACAAGACAGGAGTTACCTCCCCTACACTGATCTTTAGCTACTCTCCTCGTGTCACACATCCAACTCGCCACATATACAAGACAGGAGTTACCTCCCCTACACTGATCTTTCGTTACTCTCCTCGTGTCACACATCCAACTCGCCACATATACAAGGCAGGAGTTACCTCCCCTACACTGATCTTGAGCTACTCTCCTCGTGTCATACATCTACCTCGCCACATATACAAGACAGGAGTTACCTCCCCCACACTGATCTTTAGCTACTCTCCTTGTGTCACACATCTATCTCGCCACATATACAAGACAGGAGTCACCTCCCTTACACTGATCTTTAGCTACTCTCGTCGTATCAAACATCCAACTCGCCACATAAACCAGGCAGGAGTTACCTCCCCTACACTGATCTTGAGCTACTCTCCTTGTGTCATACATCTACCTCGCCACATATACAAGACAGGAGTCACCTCCCTTACACTGATCTTTAGCTACTCTCGTCGTATCAAACATCCAACTCGCCACATAAACCAGGCAGGAGTTACCTCCCCTACACTGATCTTGAGCTACTCTCCTCGTGTCATACATCTTCCTCGCCACATATACAAGGCAGGAGTCACCTCCCCTACACTGATCTTGAGCTACTCTCCTTGTGTCATACATCTACCTCGCCACATATACAAGACAGGAGTTACCTCCCCTACACTGATCTTGAGCTACTCTCCTTGTGTCATACATCTACCTCGCCACATATACAATACAGGAGTTACCTCCCCTACACTGATCTTGAGCTACTCTCCTCGCGTCATACATCTACCTCGCCACATATACAAGACAGGAGTTACCTCCCCTACACTGATCTTGAGCTACTCTCCTTGTGTCACACATCTATCTCGCCACAGATACAATACAGGAGTTACCTCCCCTACACTGATCTTGAGCTACTCTCCTTGTGTTATACATCTACCTCGCCACATATACAAGGCAGGAGTCACCTCCCTTACACTGATCTTTAGCTACTCTCCTCGTATCACACATCCAACTCGCCACATAAACAAGGCAGGAGTTACCTCCCCTACACTGATCTTGAGCTACTCTCCTCGCGTCATACATCTACCTCGCCACATATACAAGACAGGAGTTACCTCCCCTACACTGATCTTGAGCTACTCTCCTTGTGTCACACATCTATCTCGCCACAGATACAATACAGGAGTTACCTCCCCTACACTGATCTTGAGCTACTCTCCTTGTGTCATACATCTACCTCGCCACATATACAAGACAGGAGTTACCTCCCCTACACTGATCTTGAGCTACTCTCCTTGTGTCATACATCTACCTCGCCACATATACAATACAGGAGTTACCTCCCCTACACTGATCTTGAGCTACTCTCCTCGCGTCATACATCTACCTCGCCACATATACAAGACAGGAGTTACCTCCCCTACACTGATCTTGAGCTACTCTCCTTGTGTCACACATCTATCTCGCCACAGATACAATACAGGAGTTACCTCCCCTACACTGATCTTGAGCTACTCTCCTTGTGTTATACATCTACCTCGCCACATATACAAGGCAGGAGTCACCTCCCTTACACTGATCTTTAGCTACTCTCCTCGTATCAAACATCCAACTCGCCACATAAACAAGGCAGGAGTTACCTCCCCTACACTGATCTTGAGCTGCTCTCCTCGTGTCATACATCTACCTCGCCACATATACAAGACAGGAGTTACCTCCCCTACACTGATCTTGAGCTACTCTCCTCGCGTCATACATCTACCTCGCCACATATACAAGACAGGAGTTACCTCCCCTACACTGATCTTGAGCTACTCTCCTTGTGTCACACATCTACCTCGCCACATATACAAGACAGGAGTTACCTCCCCTACACTGATCTTGAGCTACTCTCCTTGTGTCATACATCTACCTCGCCACATATACAACACGGGAGTTACCTCCCTTACACTGATATTTAGCTACTCTCCTCGTGTCACACATCTACCTCGCCACATATACAAGACAGGAGTTACCTCCCCTACACTGATCTTGAGCTGCTCTCTTTGTGTGGGGGCGGTCGGGTAGCCTAGTGGTTGAAGCGTTCGCTCGTCACGCCGAAGACCCGGGTTCGATTCCCGACATGGGTACAATGTGTGAAGCCAATTTCTTGTGTCCCCCGCCATGATATTGCTGGAATATTGCTAAAAGCGGCGTAAAACCGTTCTCACTCACTCACTCACTCTCCTTGTGTCATACATCTACCTCGCCACATATACAAGACAGGAGTTACCTCCCCTTCACTGATCGTGAGATGCTCTCCTCGTGTATACATCTTCCTCGCCACATATACAATACAGGAGTTACCTCCCCTACACTGATCTTGATCAAGCTCCTTCCCAGCGCGTGACACCTTCGCTACACTCTCGGTAACATCGCTGCCACCAGTGTGGGCGCGGCCATTACAAGAATCATGAAATTTGGCCTCTAACCCCAAATATAGTCCAATCATACTTTTGTTTATGTCTTTGGGAATGCCACCATATTTCATTTTGAAAAGGTTTACGACTGACCATGTTTTCAAGATGAATTTACTTTGTTGTTTGTATAATTAGATTAGTTCGAGATTGCAGACTAACAGAAAATCAACCAACTCCCCCTCATTTTCTTACTATATCAATTACATGATTTTAATTAAATAGAAATTCGAATTGACAAACAAAGAAAGAATTTTAACAGCGGTTAGTGAATTCGGCGTCGCGACAGTCGTCACTTGTTTGTAAGCATAACAGTCATTCTGTTGCGAGCTGAACTCCAAGCATGGTTGTGGCCACCTGTCACAGTGGGGAGTTGTGACTGGTGGCAGCGATAGTATAGGGAGCTCAGCGAACTGGATATCGGATCTTTAGCTACTCTCCTCGTGTCACACATCCAACTCGCAACATATACAAGGCAGGAGTTACCTCCCCTACACTGATCTTTAGCTACTCTCCTCGTGTCACACATCCAACTCGCAACATATACAAGGCAGGAGTTACCTCCCCTACAATGATCTTTAGCTACTCTCCTCGTGTCACACATCCAACTCGCCACATATACAAGGAAGGAGTTACCTCCCCTACACTGATCTTTAGCTGCTCTCTTCGTAGCATACATCGTGTGGCGTTGTTTTTTTTCTTATGTGAGACATCAACATTATGTACAGTGTCTTTAAGGATCAAGTAAGGATACGAATTCATGGATGAACAACTTCT